GACTCAACCAGAGAGAAAGAAGTAGGCCTACATCATCAGCTACCATGTCTGACAGAGAGGAAGACAGTGAGGAGAACAGTCAGGAGGGTAGTGATGACAGCTTGTAGGATTACTGGTCGTGCTAATGTTGTCTTGTGTTCACCACTGCATGTGTGTTAGTGTTCACCTCTGCATGTGTGTTCAGTGCCGTGTGTCTGGCAAATAAAGTCAAGACCCCCTCAAAAGTTACGGTTTATTTAATTTTAAGGATGAGCACCAAGCAACATCTCCAGGTGCTCCTTTGAGAACCAGGGCAAAAAAGTTATGTGCACCCCTGCACATAACATCTCTGGAGTACAAAACAAACAAACAAACAAACAAAAGAGACAGTAGCTGGAAGTCTAGGACAATAGACAGAGTAATGGAAAAAGAAACAAAAATAAAATACATAAACACAAATAACAGTAGCAGTGTTAATAATAATAATAATAATAATTATAATACAAATGATAATAATAATAGACAGTACAGTCAGAAATAGTACACCATCATCATGACTTAAGCTTCTTAAAGTGCTTTAGGAATGGTCCCCATACCTTATTGAACTTGGTACTTGAGCCACAGACTGAGTATTTGTGTGTCCATTTTTACCCTTTAATTAATGTGTGTGTGTCCCAGCCTTCAAGCTGTTGGAGAGCTCCAGTCAGCAGTGGCTCCAGGGCCTCGTCTACCTGGTGGGGAACCTGCTGGGCTCGGCATTGGCTATCTACAAGTGTCAATCAATGGGACTGCTCCCCACACACTCTTCTGATTGGCTGGCTTTCATAGGACCCCCTGAGGTAAATGCACACTTTCTGTATATGTCTCATGTTTCCTGGTTGGTTCTTTAATTTCCGTACAATACCTCTTAATGAATCAAGCTTTAATCCTGGATGTGGTTCATCTTCAGGCCAGTAGAGGGCAGTTCAAGCCCATTTTGTAATTCCATTAAAAAGCACAGTAACACAAATAATTAGGGATGCTCGATCGCCAATTTTGGGGCCGATCCGATCGAGTGGGCGGGGCCTATGCGGATCTTCCATTTAAAGCGATGTATTTTACGTCATGCGATCGGCTCTCGCGATCGGCATTTTTAGAGAGCACCGATCGATCGGCAGAGAGTGATTATCGGCCGATATCGATCGATCGGAGCATCTCTAAAAATAATTGAAAATATAATCCAATCAAGATTTTTATTTGTTGACATAATGGTAAGGCTCTAATGAGAGAATATTTTTGTCCCACGTATTTTTTATCGTACCTAATTCTGAGAAGTATTTCTTTATTGTATTTTTATTTTATTTGTTTTTTCATAATGCAAAATGCTAAAAAAGTTAACAATACATAGAGAAATAAGAGAAATATACAACATCCAATAAGTATGAATAGATTCAAAAAAGAACATGCACCTAAAAATGCACTCAGTCAGTAGGGGCTTGGACTGTGAGCCGTAGGGTCGCCGGTTCAAGTCCCCGACCAGACCTAAATATGGAGTGTGGACTGCTACTTGGAGAGGTCCCAGTTCACCTCCTGCCCTGCCTTGGTTCAATTCAATTCAAAACCTTTATTTATCCAGGTAAAATCCCATTGAGATCAATGATCTCTTTTTCAAGGGAGACCTGCAGCAGTAGGTTCCACAAGAAGACATAAAAACATAAACAACAGAACAACAAAAGGACATCATACAGCAAAATGTACAGGGATTACAATTTACATATTTAACCACATGTACAGGTACCAACAGCATTTGATTTTGTAGCATCCAACCGAGCTTTAAAAACATGTAGTGGTACTAGCTTGGTAATGTAGTGGTACTAGCTTGGTGCCCTTGAGCAAGGCACCGGACACCCCCCTTCCCCCCCTCACTCCCATTGCTCCCTGGGCGCTGTACAATAGCTGCCCACTGCTCCTAGTACTAGACTCCTGGTACTAGGATGGGTTAAAAGCAGAGAACACATGTCACTGTGTGCTCTGCATGTGAGAGCATTAAAGAGGTTTTCATCCCTCCCCAATTCTATTCTATAAATAATGTAAATCTATTAATTCCCTTAGTGTCTTTGTTTTCTAGTAAAAGCCAAACACAGGCTTGATTTAACCGTGTCCTTTCCTTCCCTGCAGAGGATGGAGATCATGGGTGGAGGCATGGTGTTGTGAAGAGGATGGAGCGTTCTTATACCAGATTCAGATATTTACAGAGGTTATATAATGTAAATTCTACTCGTATTCTTTACTTCATTCAGACTTCTGTTGTTTCCTGTTGATGTTTTCATACAGGTTTAAACGCCAGCAGATCATGTTGATTTTTCCATTTCTTTACAGTTGAAAAAACATAATTTTAAAGTTTTTGGACGGAATATAGAATTAATTACGTCATTAAAACAAAACTTTGTCGACATGGCAGCAAAGTAAATAATGTTTTATTCTATTAATGTAGTTTTCTCTTATTTTTTCCCATTCTTTTGATTCTCTTTTCGTAGTGACGCATGATTTCAGCATGCTAGCTAGCCAGTAACATTTACTAAACTGTTTTGTAATTTATGAGTCTGTTTTAACTTATACTGATTTGCTACATGAGAATGTTCTATAAAATGAATAAAAACCTTGAAGAGACGTGTTGTAAACCGTGTCAACACATGTGAAAAAAGAACAGCTTGTGCTTCATACTTTTTGTTATGGCACAGGCTGCTTGTTTTTGTCAAAATGTGATGGAACCAAATGACTTTGTCAGCATGTTTTGATGTACAAACAACGCAATTTCACCAAGAATGTCATGACATTATCTCTCTTTAAAGAACATTCAGATTCTAAACAATGGCAGTAATCAAACTAGGCCAACAGTGGTGTAAAAACATACATTTATTTGCTCAAGATGATAACATATTTCACTCACAACCACAAGAAATCTAGGCTTTAAGTACCAAGATAACATGATTAATAATTCAAGGACGGTTGTGCAATGTCACTTTGTATATTTAAAAAGAAATATAGTGAGAAATGGTTGATTAAGACGTGGGTATGTTGCATTTTGGTTTATGGAAATATTGCATTATCAAGAGTTTGACATTGTGGGGAAGGGGCGGTGTATTTTCAGGTGTTTAACTTTCTGGACTAGCCAAAAATATACATTTCTAATTCCTTGTTTTACCAATACATTGTCTGCAAGACCATATGATGGGCTTCCATACAGAGTGGTATTGCCAAAACAGGGTCCCTTTCTTTTTACTGCAAACAACTGCATGTATAACTTGGCAACCTATATGCAATACATCATGGTTACAATCTTATTACAATATACATTTAATTCAATTAGAAAAAAAGCAGAGCACAAAGTACAAAGTGATTGCTAATGTTCTGATTTGGGTGTGTGCGTTTGTGGTTTTGGTATCAGCAGCTCCGCCCTGCAGGGAGAACAAAAGCAGGTAGGGTAAAGGGAAAACTGGAGAGGTGAGCAGAAAGCCTGCACAGTTTTTGTTAGTCGTTTTCCAATGCTGGTAGCAGTTGTGGTGTTTCCTCGCTGTGTTTCCAAGACATTACCTGGACAGATTTTTGCAAATATTGAAGACGTGTTTTTATTTTTGTCATACAGAGAAGTTACAAGAATATTTATTATCCAATATAATCTCCATAGGCTGGTTTTAATGGTCAAAATATAACATGTAAAGCTAGAATATGAGATAGAATATCATATTTATGAGATCTTCATTTTCACCAGGTGTCTAGTAAAGCGTTGAACTCCCTATTGTGTACAGAAAGTTTCTGTTAGTCCTTATTTTGACATTGTAAAAAGTCTAAATACTTTTGTCATACTTAAAATGTATTTAGCGTAGTCGTTACTTTGAGATACTATAATAATAAAGTACTTTCAGGTTGGGTTGATAAGTAAAATAGAACAAGAATTAAAAAAAACACAGATGGGTCATTCCAGAATTGGAGGACAATTTAGACACCAACATTTTTGTTGTATTTAGGAAAAACAGATAATAAACCAACAAAAAAAGTGATTTGCCAAGCTAGGCATCAAATGTATATTTTCCAATGAAGAATTACCCCTGTTACTCTAATTATAGTAACAGGGTTGAAAATCAATGCTAATTTGAGCTTTAACCTCAGGAATTATTGCTAGATGTAGCATGTAATGCTACTTTCAAGGCAAGGACAAACTTGGATATTTAATGAAAGAAAGATCACTTTGAAATGAATATGCTTTATTCTGATAATATGAGTAACAGGGTTGAGTGGGTTAGAGTGCCACACTCTTTTAAGACTGAAACGATTGTAAAAATATGAAAAATAAAAGAGAGGACTTAGTTTTGGTCTACCCATGGCACTAGCACATGGCTTGCTGATGTCCTTTCCACTGTGTCATTTGACTTTTTCACTTCCTCTGCCAATCTAAAAAGGTTTGGGTAACAGGGTTGAACGCATGTTGAGGGACACACCTTCTGTGCAAAATTATTTAAAATATGTTTATGATTTAACAAATTGATTTTACAAGAGACATATATCAATAGAATAATACCAAAAAAAGTAAATAAAATCCCTATTTAAAATGTTATATTTGACATGCAAGTTGGTCACCAAGAAGCGGGTACAAGAGAAAAATGCCGTTTTAGGGGGTGTTCGAGTCGAGAGCTATTTGATCATTTAAATAATATTTTGAAACCACTTTTTCTAAAACTTTATATACATTTTGTCTCAAGACAAGTATGTTTAACACAACAAGGGCATGTTTTAGCTTTTTGGGCATGGATTATAAGATATTTATATGGGGGACATGAAATGTCCTCCAATTCTGGAATGACCCAGATAGCGAACTATATTAAGAACATTATAATAACATTACAAAGGGTTTCTATTGGCAGTGATGGGCTTCCATAGGTTCGTCTCCCCAAAGAGCCTTGAGTACCGGGGGTTCAGTTTCGGGAGCTGACTGGTCAGACCATGGATGTATAATAAGGGTCAGACTTGCCTTACCGACCCACCCATGGGAGGACCTATCATGGGGAGGACCGGATCCGCCCCAGAGTCGCAGTTGGCCGGCCTGTCACACTGAGAGGGGGCGGGACAGGTGAGGAGGAGAGCGTATACAAGAAAGAAAAGGATGGTCAGTTCTTCAGGAAGGTGTGCGCTTCGCCATGTGTTAGAAAGAGACAAGAAAAGTTTATTTTTAGTTAATTATCGTCGTGTTTCCGGGATTTATTTGTCCCCGTTTTCTGTGCGGAGTACTTTTCAAACGTCAACGGTTAGTTTTTTTAAACCGAACGTAGGCCTACTATTTTTCAATTCGACTGCGCGAGACCCTTCAGTTTGTTTTCAGTGAAGCGAGCCTTTGTCAGCGCACAGGATCGACTTTTACTTTTTTTTTGAAAACGTATCTTCGAAGCATAGAGGAGTGGAAATACCTTTTTTTGACTTTTAAACGCATTTTTTATTGTGTTTTTATTTTTTTGGTAAACTACTTGCCCTGTAGTCATGGAGAGGGACGACTGTCACTCAGCAACGCGCACACATCCGTTTTTTCACGAGTTGAAGATGACCCGTGCGCAGAGGATAAGGGTAACGTTCATATATTTAAAATAAAGTATAAAGACATAAGATGTTTATGCCTGAAATCAGGACACAATGGCACCACATAACACGTAGTTATAATACAAAGGCGATAGAAGTACAACAGGTGCCACCTGAAACTAACCTGGCAATAGTGGTGTAAAGTAGATTTACTCAAGTACTGTACTTAAGTATACTTTTCAGGGACTTGTACTTTGCTTGAGTATTTCCACCTTTGCTGTACTTCTACCCCACTACAATTCACAGGTAAATATTGTTACTTCTACTCATAAACAACACTTACATACTACTTTAGTAACACCTGGAGTAAATTCACAAGCTACCCTGCAGCATACCAAGTATTTTAAATAAGCTGCACCTTAACCAGCTTTGATAACACTTTAATGCATCAATAATTATAAAATATATCATATTCTGTAAGGTGTCAATCTGCACAATGACTACTTTTACTTTTGCTACTTTAGGGATATTTAGATGCCACTACTTTTGTACTTTTACTTTTGTGACATGCAGGACTTGTTACAGAGTATTCATACACTGGTACTTCTACTTTTACTGAAGTGTCTGATTACCTTTTCCACCTCTAGCTAGAGTTGTCCTCTGTACATACTGCTTACTTAAACATTAACTTCTAATGTGTTTAAATGCTGTGCTTTGAGTCAGTGGGATAAGGGTGCTATATTTGGACATCTGTTTAAACTCATGGTTTTCCTTCTATGGTCATTTTTTACATGGCTTATTTCTGGAGTTTTTTTTAAGGGAACAAAGGGTCTTTCACATTTCACTCTCTGACTCTGGGGCCTAGGCAAAACAGCCAAGTCATAAATGTGTTTCAGGCACAGGCTAGCATGTCAGAGGGGAACAACATGCCACAGAGTTGCGTAACTTTACGACTGACACGCTAGTAGAGCTGAACCACATCATGACATTGGTGTCATGATGTTTACAGGAATATATATCCCATTCAGAAACGCATCTAAGACCACTGAAATAGATGGTCAATCCACTGTTAAGTATGGACTGACGCCTTTCAAAGTTGATATACAATGAACATAGAATTCATGAGCATCAAAAGTCACTATGAATCTAAATTGACGAATTAAATCCAAAGACATTAGTTTAAAAAGAGACATTAAGCCATTTTTAAGTAGTTCACAAAGTGTTCCCTGTCGACGCATATGATGTTTTAATTTACAGCTGCAACGATTGAAGTGACCGGAAAATAATCTGTTACCATTTTGATGTTTTTGATTAATCATAAAAGTATTTTTTCATGCTAAAATGGCCCCTCGAACATGAACATTTCCTGCATTTCTTCGTTTTTTTTTAACTAAAATACATCTCATTGGGCTTTGGACTGTCACAACAATACAACTAAAAACATGACCTTGGGTTTTAAGAAAATAGGATGAACATCTTTCACTATTTTCAGAGAATTCAGCTCTTATTATAGAAAATGGTCAGTTTATTCAATAATATAATCGTCATTATCCACCGTCATTTATATATCTTCTGATCTCCAGGGCATCATCCTGGGCAGCGTGCTCTTCCCTCTGCGCGTCACCCTGACGGCCCTCATCTTCCTCATGATGTGGCCCCTGGCGCGGCTCCGATCCGCCGGCCTGTCTGCGGAGGAGTGCTCTCGCCCCATCACTGGGTGGAGGCGCTGGCTCCTCCACCCAATCATTAAGTTTCTGAGCCGATCCGCCTTCTTCTGCCTGGGCTTCATGTGGACAAAGGTCAAAGGTCGCTGTGCGGACCTGAAGGAGGCGCCGGTGCTGGTGGTGGCGCCTCACAGCAGCTTCCTGGACATGTTGGTTCTGCCTCAGACGGAGCTGGCAACGGTGGTGTCGCGGTCGGAGAACACCAGCCTGCCCGTCGTAGGAGGTGAGACACACACACACACACACACACACACACACACACACACACACACACACACACACTCACCAGCCAGTGCCGACATGATAGAAATTAAATCTGGATACACTCCCCATGTTATAATATTTGAAATGAGCCAATCCTCCTCATATTAGTTTCTACATTTGTAATATCCAGTAACAGAAACAAAGTGACAGTATGCATTGCTTGCTGAGGGTTTAAATCAATGGATGATTTAAAAATAAATGTACCAAAACTGTCAAAACCTCACTTGCTTCTGTTGTTCTTCTTAATCTTCTATTGATTGTTATATAAATAGGATGGCATTGCGTGTCTTTGATTCCCCGGCTGTTTAAGGCGCTCCTTCACTCTCCTGGTGTAGTGGAGCTCATGCGTGCAGGTGTAAATGACATTGATTGCTTGAAGTGTCAGTCGCACACTGCTCTGTTAGTTGAGTTGCTGTCCCTTTGCTGGTGTACCTTCTTCCCCTTCATACTTGGAATATCTTCTAGTAGAGGACACACAGAATACAGGTGAAGTGTGAAAATAAGAATTACTTTGGGGACACACAATCGAAGGCAAGCTGGGAAAAGTGTAAATGTTTTGCTTTGAATCGTGAGAAAAGTGAAGAAATGGAGCGTTCCCCCTGCCAACAACCGAGTACTGTTTGTTACTAGGCAACTGTCGGAGTGCCTGGATGACCTCATGTTTGACGAAATGAATGTTTAAAGAGACTGGCAGAGAGCCAGATCGGTCGATCGGTCGGCAGAGAGTGAGTATCGGCCGATATCAGTCGGCAGCCGATCGATCGGAGCATCCCTACCAAAAAGATAAACAAGTGACTCAGCCTGTTGGCTTCTACATCTCTCTGCCTGCTTTGGAACTTCCTCCCTTTTGGTTCTGGTTTTCCCTTTTTTGTTCTTGTGTAATCGTTCTGTTCTCGTTGACAGCCCTGCTGGAGTTCAACCAGTCAGTGATGGTGAGCAGGAAGGATCCGGAGTCGAGGAGAAAGGCGGTCGCTCAGCTGACCGAGAGGCTGACCTCCGGCGGGTACTGGCCTCAGGTGAGAAACCTTCTGGGAGATAACCTGCTGCATCTTGGGTATATTTAGGTGGTAACACAAATAAACAAGTTGTTGTTTACAGAACTAATAATGACCACAAACTATCAAAACACTTGGCAGCATTCTGGCACCTTGTCTCAAAGTCAATGTGTTTTGGGATGTATGTCGTTAACACAAGATAAACACACATCCAAGTATTGATCTACAGCTTTAAATAAATCGGATGGTAAGTTGTTTTTTTGTTGCGGGAACAACAACAACAAGAGTAGCTTCCAAGTTGGCCTTAGAATGAGGTCATCCCCGCAGCGCTCGATTAAAGGAATGCCCCAAATGACTACGACAACAGTGCACACCTCACTGAAACCGTTAAGTCTTTGCTTGTTATGGCTTCACATCTCTGATTCAGCCCGAGCAAACAGCTGATCAAGATTAGATAAGATGTTTTGTTTTGGAACCGGAGAGAGCAACACATGTTTCTGCACTTAGTATTATTCCATCCTTTTTAGTTACAGTGGGAACATTTTCAAACTTCAGGAACAGAAGGATGGATAATAAACTCATTTGTCGACATCTCAGAAGACCGATTGGCTTTATTTACGCTGCTGGTAGATTTCTGTTATTCCTGGCTGTCCGTAAACTCACCTGCTCATAAATCACACGGCTCTACTTGTTGGCTAGATGCTGATGTTTCCAGAGGGAACCACGACTAACGGCAGCTCTCTAATCAAATTCAAACCTGGTGAGTACACGGCCGTCTCCTTTCTTCCTGTCAGTTCGTTCCCCTTTGGAACAGATCACACAGGAATGAGTGGCATGAAAGGGAGAAAAGGGCGTAGCAGCTCATTGTTTTTGCTTCTACAGCGACGCTAACATTCCTGTCCGTCTCGTTTTTCTCAATGTCTTCAGGTGCCTTCCTCGCGGGCGTCCCCGTCCAACCGGTTCTGCTGCGTTACCCCAACAAGCTGGTGTGTGTGTGTGTGTGTGTGTGTGTGTGTGTGTGTGTGTGTGTGTGTGTGTGTGTGTGTGTGTGTGTGTGTGTGTGTGTGGTGTGTGTGTGGTGTGTGTGTGTGTGTGTGTGTGTGTGTGTGTGTGTGTGTGTGTGTGTGTGTGTGTGTGTGTGTGTGTGTGTGTGTGTGTGTGTGTGTGTGTGTGTGGTGTGTGTGTGTGGTGTGTGTGTGTGTGTGTGTGTGTGTGTGTGTGTGTGTGTGTGTGTGTGTGTGTGTGTGTGTATAAAACATTTACTAAAGTGACAAGATCTTTCAAAAACAGGAAGTTAAGTGTTAGAGGAGATAGTATCAGCACTTTGTTGACTGCATGCAGATGGGTTGATCTGAAAGGATACGTTATCCTTTCAGATCATCCGAATCGAAAGTTTATTAGAACAACAGTCACACTGTTTCGTTTCTCAGTCGACCAACCTGTGTGACACGATTCCCTCACAGGGGCGGGCTTTGTTCTGCTGCTGCACTTTGTTTTTGACTTCCTTGTTCCTGTCCCTCCCTCGGATGGGTGTGTACACTACGGTCCCATCCCGTTCCTATGTTATAATAAAAAAGCATATTTATTATTATTATTATTATAAGTCCCCCATTTTTATCTCCTGTATTTCCTAAAATGTCCGCCTGGTCTGGATGTACATTTCCCCAGACTGTAGCTATGTTTATGTACACACTGTTATGTGTCCACTGTGTTTGCATAGCGGAGCCTGTCAGGGTGTGTAAACGGGTCAAAGTGACTGGAATTGAACGTGCTATAATAAATGAATCCCCACCGTGTGTGTTACTAAAGATGTTCTGTTTCACCATCTGTTTACGACTCCCTCAGGATTCTGTTCGCTGGACGTACAAAGGAACATCCTGGTGAGCAATCTCCACTCTCTCTTTCCACTTTCAGTGTTGAATCAAGCGCTCGTTTTATATGCATGTAAATGGTCTGCAAAGACGCACATTCCTGTGTTTTGTGTTTTTTAATTCACGTTCTCTCCACTGTTTCTGAGGATATAATTATTAGGGCTGTCCCGAATAGCATTTTTCGGGCTTCGGATATTCGGTGGGGGGGGGGGGGGGAGGGGTGCGTAGTAATCGGCAGAGAAGCGCTTCAACACGTGTATTTCGGTTCATTCACGGCATTCATTTTGTTATTCTACAGTATTGTTGTTTTATAGTTATTTGTTAATGTATTTATCCCTATTTGTGTTCTTTGAAATTGAAAAGGATATTTTGTTTGTTACTTTCGTTGCAGTTGTATAGGCGCGTTCACACCGCAGTACTTTTCCCACAAAGGTTCATCAGAACTCTTTGGTTCTCATGAACTAAGTACAGATCGCGTTCACACCGAATAACTTCCCTGAGGGAGGATCAGGCAAATGAAGCCGCTGACGTCACTTCTTCTTCTTCTTCTGCTTTGGGTTTACTGGCAGGCCGCAAACAACCCCGGAGTTGGGGACTGGCTTCAGTAGAAGCTGCTGCGACTCCCCGTGGTTTGCAATCCGCCCAGCCAATCAGAAATAGGAACCTTTTTCTCCCACAAAAGTACCTGCTCTCTAGCAGGGACGGAAAAGGGGGTAAAAAGGTTCATGAACGCGAAAATTGGAGAAAAAACGAATATCCGAATAACGAAATTGAATCCCGAATAGTACTCCAACGAACGAATATTCGGATATTCGGGTACAGCCCTAATAATTATATTTGATCAAATAATACCACGGGTAGCAGTTGCACACCGTGACAGTTTTGTTTCCCATCTAATATTTGCTCTTTTGTCCGTTAGGGTGGAGACCCTCTGGCACACAGCGTCTCAGTTCTACACAAACAGCACTGTTGAGGTGAGAAGGTTAACCAAATCCTCCTCGCAGAAAATGTACACTAATATGGCTTCGTGTCAGAATGCATTAACATCTGCCTTTTTATAAAGAGGAACTTAACACCATGTGGAAAATATGGTAGCTAACCAAGTACACTGTGACATCACTGTTGGCGTGGTAACAGGTGCAGCACGTGACTAATCCTGATGTGGTGTAACACACAAACAGGAGTGATCATTACTTAAGCTTGGTGTACATTCCTTGTTAGACGATTTAATTCCACCCTGTGTTTACCTGCTACTATGTCTACAATGTGTGTGTTTCTTTGCTGCAGTTCATGCCAGTTTACACCCCGTCAGAGGAGGAGAAGAAAGACCCCAACCTGTACGCAGACAATGTTCAGAAACTCATGGCCAAGTGAGTAGCGCAATGTTTTATGATCTATATCCGCCCGTTTGTGTGTCACTGTGTCATCTACAGTCTGTACGGATTTAAGATAAGATAAGGGGGAAATCATGTGATGTAAGGAGAGAATAGGGACAGGAGTACAAATATGTCAGGGATTAATAAAGCAGAAATGGTTCTAAATATATTATCATTTATCGACTGTGGACATTTCTCAAACAAACAAAACAAACATGGTTGTTGTTGTTGTTGTTGTAATGCCCCCTTTCTGCCACTAGATGCTAATAAAGAGCCATATTGTTAATGAAAAACTTAAGGCACAAAGTTCAAGCCAGCATTTTCTTTCAGGCTATTCTTACCCACAATCCTTTGCAACTGTATACTATGCAAGCTACGTGGAACAGTATTTACTTTAAGGTTGAGCTGAGCTATATTTAGCTGACCACCGCATACAGCACAGACTTCGCTTGATGCTGGATGTCAGCTGTCTCTTATGATGCGTGTTTCTGCTGCAGGGCCCTCGGGGTGCCGTCCACAGATTATGTGATGGAGGGCCGGGTCCCTGTGAATAAAGTGGGGGGCCTTTCTCTCCCCATCGATTCTCCTGCCAGGGACACGCTCTCACTGCTGCACCAAAGCGGGTAAGAGAAGATCTTTGTTTCGCTTCAGTTCTGTGAAAGCTCCTTTTTGTCGTTGTCTCACCATCTCTCTCTCTCTCTCTCTCTGTCTCTGTCTCTCTCTCTCTCTCTCTCTCTCTGTCTCTGTCTCTGTCTCTGTCTCTGTCTCTGTCTCTGTCTCTGTCTCTGTCTCTGTCTCTCTCTCTCTCTCTCTCTCAGTCTGGAAGCTCATGACGTGGAAGCAGCGCTGGTCAGAATGATTGACAGGTGTCAGTCAGGAGCTCAGGGGTCAAAGTGCAGCGCAGAGGAGCTCGCCTCCATCCTCGGGCTGACGGACGCACAGACAGCCGGGAGCATCTGCAGCTTCTACTCCAAGGTACAAACTGTTGTTGTTGTTGTTTGTGTGTCTACTGACATGATCTTCTTGGGCTTTTTGCACTAGTGTTGAATTACATCTGTGTTTTTGTTAAAGTACTGAATGTTCTCAATACGTTTGATACATCTGCTACGACTTGTCTAGTATAATGTTTTTCACAATCACAATGCGACTTCAAAGCCTTTGAACTGCTCCCTGATGCAGTGCAACACTCTTCAGAGGGGAATCGGCACCTTTTATACATTTTCTATGATTTGTTGTTGAAGTGGAACATGCCTACAAATATGATGCCTCTATTATAATAGTATAAACCAAAAGAAGTCGCTGCTTTAAATGATGAGACTGTGCACAGCAACTACTAACGCAGGGCTTGGGGGAGCTAACCTGCAAGCTGCATGTTGTACTTAACCCTTAGATGCATAAGTGGGTCTTTTCGGACCCGGTGAGCTGGTTTTCTTGAAGTATCTTTGAAATTGCATTTTTTTTTATCATTTCATATTCCAGCTATTCCTCAAAAAACATGTTTTGGATTTCAAGCCATTCACATTTTAAATTGACATTTTATCCTTTTTAAGAAATTGTAGTTTTTGTATTGCTACCCCAAGCTTCCATAAGTGGGTCAAAAATGAACCGCATGCATTTTGTGGACCACACAGACGACATCACAAGGGACACCTCTCAGGGAGATTATCGTACACAGCAAGATCTGATACCTGTATAATAATAATACATTATATTTCTAAAGGGATTTTCAAGGACTCAAAATCGCTTTGCAATATAAGGGAAGGTTAGGGTGGGGGGGTATAGGGCTATCAAACTTGATCAACCGGCATGGATTGATGGGGGGTGGGCTATGAGTAGACAAGAGGAGAAGAGATGAGTTTTGAAAAGGGACTGGAACACTGTGAGGGTCGCAGAATAGCGGAGATCTTTGCATCAATTTGTCTATAATTAGAGAAATTAAATATAAAATATTTCTAGTGTGAACCAAAATATAATACTAAATATTATACAAGTGATTTTTCTTAACCAAAATGACAAAGATGGCATAAAAGCACATATTATTCTAACACGGGTCCTTGTTGACCCACTTACGGAAGAGTGTAGTCACTCGTGCGTCTAAGGGTTAGTAATTGACTTTCTAGCAAATTCATTTAACTCCAATTCCTGTTTGCATTCATCTCAAGAAACCTGCTTGTTTTTCAGGATGAGTCTGTGGACCTGAGGCAGATCTATTTAAGTGTTTCTGCTGTGTCAGGATTTGTCAGCTTCAGCACACTGCTCCACACGGCTTTTACTGTAAGTCCTGGTTTATTTATTAGTTTCTACCGAAGATAACGAATAGCCTTTCACAATGCTTCTAAATGCACGGTGTTTGTCTCGCAGCTGTTTGACCCAGAGAGCAGCAGCAGTCTGAGTGCAGAGCAGCTGTCCGGCCTCATGGGGGCGCTGCTGGGGTTCCCTCAGCATCGAACAGCTGATCTCTACTCCCAGGTGTCTGAGGAAGGCCAGCTGACTGAAGGTGAGGACCAATCAGTGAGGGATCATAATAGTTCACTATTCACTAGTCAATTCAATTCAAAACCTTTATTTATACAGATAAAACCCATTGAGATCATAGACCTCTTTTACAATGGTGACCTGCTTCAATTAGTTCCAAACATTAATACAAACATGACAGAAAACAAAGGACATTATATGATACTACAGTTTGTATACTAGTAGCATTTACAGACACCAATATTTTCTGATTGTATAGCGTCTATCCTAGCTTTAAAAACATGAAATGGAATCAAACTGCTTAGCTTCCATTCCTTTTGTAGACTGTTCCATGCTAGCGGCGCTGCGCATCTAAAAGCTGTATTTCCTAATACAGTCCTAGCAGTTGGCACATGTAATACAACCACAGCTTTAGATCTCAGGCAGTAGCCATTTACAATACGCTGTGAGATCAGGGAACAGATGTAAGACGGAAGTTTCCCTAACATTGCTTTATAAAAAGATACCAGTGATTTAGCCGCTAGTGTCTCGTTCATCTTGTTACATTGAGATTATACGCAACAAAATGTGGTATAAAATTACTTTATACCACATTACTTAGGCCACTCACAACCCAGCTCAAAAACAAGTATAATCTGTAAAAAACGATTCTCCATCACACAGAAAGTTATTTAACATTACTTTTTCAAACACCTTTTCAAGTTTGTTCTGTTCCTCTTGCTGTGAAATGTTTTAGTAACGTGTTAAATCTAAAAGGCAACTGCCCTCACTGAACATGTGTGTTATGGGGGGGGGGGGGGGTGCGTAGTATTTCGGTTTATTCACGGCATTCATTTTGTTATTCTACAGTATTGTTGTTTTATAGTTATCTGTTAATGTTTAGAACCCAATTTGTGTTCTTTGAAATTGAAAGAGAGAAGGAGAGTTAGCGCTGTTGACAGGAAGTTGTTGTTGCTATGGAAACAACGTGACGGAGATTAACGGAGAAAAGTCATATCTACATATAAAGACGGAGAAAGTAAACCATAACGTTTATAGTTAAGTGTTAGCACCCCCCGAAGAGGCACAAGCTCTTACGTTGATATTGGAGATTTCAATCAATTAAATTTGGCAGCCCGCTGTCAAAATATATATATATATATATATAACGAAATTGAAACCCGAATAGTACTCCAACGAGCGAATATTCGGGTACAGCCCTAGTGTGTTATAATTAACTGTCAAAAACCATTGAAATCCTCATTAAATCCGCCTCGTTGTTCACAGAAAATCTGCTGCGAGTGCTGACGAGCCACCCGACCTATCAGGAGGTGGTGAAGGAGTACTTGCAGCCTGAGGAGGAGGCGGGCTCTCAGCTGGCCAATGGGAAGGCTGTAAACAACAACGGAAACACGCTAAACGGCCACGGATCCATCCACTACAAGAAGTTTGAATAGGGAATAAAAGAAAATAGGATGTGTCTTTTTTTATAGGATGTTTATTAGTTTGTTATGTATTCTGCAGCAACCGGACACAATGTACCAGAGTAATTGACAATGGATTGTATTTTTATAGTGTGTGTGTGTGTGTGTGTGTGTGTGTGTGTGTGTGTGTGTGTGTGTGTGTGTGTGTGTGTGTGTGTGTGTGTGTGTGTGTGTGTGTGTGTGTGTGTGTGTGTGTGTGTGTGTGTGTGTGTGTGTGTGTGTGTGTGTGTGTGTGTGTGTGTGTGTGTGTGTGTGTGTGTGTGTGTGTGTGTGTGTGTGTGTGTGTGTGTGTGTGTGTGTGTGTGTGTGTGTGTGTGTGTGTGTGTGTGTGTGTGTGTGTGTGTGTGTGTGTGTGTGTGTGTGTGTGTGTGTGTGTGATTTTCTACCAACCACACTCACAACACCAAAGAATGACCTACATTATGAATACAGGCGCTCTCTGATGTCGGTGTGTGTTTATTTAACGACTCGTGTATATTTCACAATAACCCAAAAGAAACACATGTTGGTCCAGATGTTGTTAAAACACTACGTTATGGTGAAGCCATAAAATGTCTTATTTATAGAACTACCTTCCTTTGTACATTGAATGTTTTTAAAACGGGTACAGTGGTACGTGTAAAAAGAAACTCTGTAAATCAAAAAGTTTATTTTATGTAATTCTTTTGAATACTGTTTTATATTTAACAATTAATTAAACTGTGAATTATTTTTAAGGAGGATTTCATGAGTTTTTTCCCCACATTTATTTAATCTAAAAACACATTAATTACCAATCTTTCTTCCACGTCTTAGCGTTCTTCCCTTCTCCTTATCCAGCCGTCTGCTGCGTGTGTTTGTTTTGCACAAGATGAAGTCGTTATACTTGCTGGGTAACCTGCTGTAAAGCCGTGTTTGTCTGGCTTTTTTACAACTTGTTCTGGTTTCCATCGCACTTCTTGAGTCTCCTTTAAAAGTGTCTTCTCCAGTTGATACCCTTGACCTTTCTCCATCCTTCTTCGCACTACTTCTGGTTGAGGGTGGGCTCGGTTTATTGGCCGATTCCTCTGTGGACCCCTCTTTGACTTTAACATTCGCTGTCGGTGTTTGCTCTTCTCTCTCTGCGTACTCCTTCGCTCCGCTCTTCCACCTTCCTCTCTTCGTCGGACTTAAACTTGAGTTTTCAATCGCCACATTGTCCGTCTCTTGTATCGCTTCCCTCTCTTCCGAAGACCCTTGTTCATTTCGGTGCCTTTTCATCAGACTCGACGGGTACTCTTCTCCATTTAGTCTTCCATCTTCACCTTTCACATCTGACGTTAGCTTGACGCTAGTTGGTTCATTTGTCACGTTTTCTTGAATGCCTTTACTACTTACTGTCCGGCTTTCTGACACATTATGTGACCTCAAGCTGTAAAAGTCAGAGGTTCCTGTGACTTCACTCGCTTCTGGACTCGTTACATTTTGGTTTTCCTTGCAGGTTTTCTCCGAAGGTGGCTCATTCATCCTGCTCAGAAGTCCCTCTTTGGGTACTGCTTGTCTACTTTGGTCATCTTTTATCAAGTCTTGTATGTCATGAGGATGCGTCTGAACTGTTGGGCTCTGCAGAGAACATTCTGGTAGCGAAACGTTGTCCTCGTCTGTCTTACTCTCCCCTTCATCGCTTCTGCTTCTTTTCATTGGACTTGAAACCGAGATAGTCTGTGGTTCAGTTTCATCCGCCTTCGCATTTACTTCGAGGTCGTCACCGTCCAGAATGTCTCTCTTCGACGAGGACTTCCTGTGGTTTCTCTCCGTCTCTAGGCTTTTGACTTTCCTTCTGACTGGAGTGGCAGGAAGTGGAGTCATCAGCACTTTCTCCTCAGTCGTCGAGCTCCTAGTCTGTCTCTTCACAAAACTGGACATTTGAATCTCCTTTTCTTTTGTTTCTTTACCAACGTGTTTCTCTACTTGTGGCATTTTGTCTAAAAGGGCATTTTCTGTCCCAGTTTCAGTGCTCATATCGGGGTTATCGACCCAATGCTGTTCCCCTCCCTCCATGTGGAGTTTCTGTTGTTCCTTCTCTCCAGTCTCTGAACATTTGTCTGTATCTTCTGGTTCTGTGGCTTGGCTCAACGGTTTAAATAATTCCCTTCCTACAAACGACCGTCTTTTCTGCGTCACATGAACAAGCCGTTGCATTTCTGGGGTACATTTAGCTGCTTTCTTATCACTCTTTTCAACAGGCTTCTTCTCAACTGCTCCCTCTTTGCTCACTTCACCGCTCGGTCTCGGTTTCTCCTTCTCAATTTGACCCGACTGCCTCTGACTACGTCTGGTGTTTGTCATGACCTTGAGTTTGGTCTTACTCTTTGTATTCTCCTCCTTTCTTTCTTCTCTTGATTTTGTAGCTTTGTCCTTCAGTGTTTCTGCGACATCTTGTCTCTCTGTTTCCTCCTGATTTCCTGTCCGGAGTTCAGGGGAGGCTACGTCTTCAGAAACTACAAAAACTGTAAGCTCAGCTTGTTCTTCGGGCACTGAGTCTGATAGCTTGCCATCTACTGCTTGCACAGAAACTGCCTCGATACAAGAGGACTTTAGGTCTATGTTTTTGGGGCTTAATTGTTCCTGAGACTCCTTTATCTGATGCTGTGTTTTCGAAACTAGGACACTCACAGCTGGAGGGCTAAAAGTCGACAAATCGTCTCTAAAACTAGGCGTAGATTCCTTGACGCCAACGGTACAAGGGTCCTCATTTGACCCTGAGACACTAGACGTTGAGTTGGACTCGGGGGCAAGAGGATGCCCACGTAGAGGACTTTCCAGAAACAACTGAGCTGACTCTGGGTCTGTTAGGTTCAAGGGGAACATTACGTCTTCTATTGACTCGTACCATTTCGCCGCATGTACCTCTACCAATGCATTATAGTCTCTGGTCTCCAAATCAGATGCAAGACTCGTCTCTGGGGAAAACTTGGCATGCAGCCGTAAAGACGGGAAGTTCATGAAAAGGCAGCCATTGTGGTTGAGAGCAGATGTGGCGCTAACAGGGTAATCTGTGGAGAGTGTTTCTTCCAGAAGGTGGGAAGGGATGAGGGGAGAACAGGTAGTCAAATCTCCCTTTGGTTCTACATTCCTCTGACGTGTGTATTCCCCATTGCGGTTGGGATTGTCCACCTTTTGCTTTTCCAGTGCAAGAAGGTCAATGGGATCTGGGTCGGAAGAAAGAAGGGAATCCAGGAACTTTGTATCCAGTGTAAACTCCACCTGCGAACAAAGATGGATGTGGATTAAAACACAGACGATACACCTTTTCCTTGAAAGCTATGGTGGTTTTAACAGTGGTTTTGTCTTCCAAAAGCAAGCCGTTTAGACGACCAAAGAGACAAATCTACGCTTTTTTTATCTTTGCTTAACACAAACATATCATATTGCCATGAAAGCCACTAGATTCAATGACCGTCGATCAAACACTGCAACTAAAATATTGATATGCCACTGACGACTAACCTCTCGGACAAATTTCTCATCACAGCACAGTTCATCCAGATACTCCAGAAATGAAGAGTTGCAGAGGAAGGGTGAAGGTACGAGGGGGGAAAAGGAAGGCAAAACTCCCTTTTGTTCTATCGTCCTCTGAGTTGAAGTTTCCCCACCGTGGTTGGGATCTATGTCCGACTGCGAGCATGGAAGAACCAAATAAAACGCTTGAGAGTTTTGCAGTGGTGACGTTTCCTCGACACGTGAAGTGCACGGATATTCGTCTTTGGTTACAGAGCGATACCACAGCTTCTCCAGGATCACCTTGCGTATCTGATGAAAGAAAACAAAGAAAAACACCTTGTTATGAAAGAAAGTTTGACCTTTTCCTGAAGCATTTTCCACCGAAAACTGGCCATCCAAGGGTGTTGTTCTCCAAGCAACATTGTTCTCGCAACTTCAACGTTTTACATATCCCACCTCTTGCACAAGTTCACTCATCGAAAGGAGGTCAATCGGATCTGGATCTGATTTGGGAGCAGGAGCCACATTCTCTGTTTTCAGTGTCACCTGAGGAAAAGAGATGACATTAAGGAAGTGCTACAACATGCTAGTATTCAGCTTTTGCTCATTTGTGCAGCAACAGATTCAAAAATGAATTGGAGCAGCTGAGTTGGAAATATCTTGATTTGATGTCTTTACCACACCCAATACTCCTGTATCCTACATTTCCCATAATGCAACTTGATAGCATCTTTCAAACTCTGGAGCCCGAGATGTAAACTGTGCAAAATGTCAGCTCCAATAGCAATAGCAATATCACAGTAAATAAATACTTAGTGATGCGTTTTTCTTACAGCAGCTCTCACTTCTGGCATGAATGTTGAACTTAGCTTGTTCAAGATGAAAACGGAAAAAACAACATTTAAAGTACGTATCATGTTTGATCACCTCTTGCTCTTGTTTTTCCAGTGCAAGAAGGTCAACGAACTCTGGGTCTGAAGAAAGAAAGGAATCCAGGAACTCTGTATCCAGTTTGAACTCCGCCTGTGAACAAAGATCCGGTTTTAAACAATAAACCTTGTCCTTGTTTAGAATAAGATATGGATGCTGGTTTTAACAAATATCAAGGAAAAACTGCTACAAAAATAACGATATACCAATGCCATTGACGACTAACCTCTCCGACGCGTTTCTCATCGCTGCACAGTTCATCCAGATACCCCAGAAATGAAGAGTTTTCTAGATTTCCCCGGTTCTCCTCTTCCTCGTTTCCTTCCTGCGGAGCAGAATCAAAAATGATGGTGCTTTTTAGTTTTACAGTACAAACGTTAAACAGTTTTGCTCAATAATGAAAATGTCGGGGCATTGAACCTTTTTGAAAAGATATGATGTTCGTACATTCGACACCATGAAAGAGATGACATGTTTTTCTTATCCAACCTTACACAGTGTTTAGCATTTAAATAAAAGCTAGTGTCATAATCCCTCCTCCAGATTTGATTTCTTATAGAAAGTGACCTGGGTGCTGAAGGAGTCGAAGATCGCCATGTATTCCTCAAAGGATTGTCCCGCCAGTATTTCTTCATCCAAAAAGTGAGCAGAACCAGAACAATCCTCCACTTTAACATTTTGCTGCTCTTCTGTGAGGATCATATTTAGATTTTAAGGAGAGCAACATTTATTAAATTGTTAGTTCAATCATCGACTTTTCTCTAAAGTATGCTTATTTTTTTAGACGAATTATGAAAAGTAGATATTTTATAAG